TCTCCTTTAACTTCCTTTCTTATTCTTGTATTGTAGATGATTAGGAAAGACTTGAAAGCACCTTAGAAAAGAGCACCCTTGAGTCTAATACCCCTTTATAAGTAATATTAAAGCAATCTTACTTGTAGCAAACTGTAATCAACCAAATCACTGTAATGAATGTATTGGCCTTGTGTAGAAAATGTTGCAACTCTGCTAAATTTCTCTATCTCTGCCCATATAAGTGAAATTGTAACTTTCCCACTTTGGAGCACTGACCCCATTCTTCTGTAGTCTTTGTTAGCCACGTGGAGATCCTCAAGTTTTGCAGCTGAATAAACTCTATACTTAATTATATTTTCTGAATCTCATTGTTGAAGGTTGACATCTTCCATTTAGGCAAATAGGAGGGTAGAGACCTTTCCTGCATCTGCTTATTCTTTTTTTTTCCTTTCTTGGCCTCTTTTTTATTACATTTTAAGTCCTGGGGTACATGTACAGATCATGCAGGAGTGTTACACAGGTATACACATGCCATGCTGGTGTGCTGCATCCATCCCCCAACATCTACATTAGGTATTTCTCCTAATGTTATCCCTCCCTGAGCCCTCTACCCCTGCTATCCCTCTCTAGTATCCCCACCCCTCAACAGGCCCCAGTGTGTGATGTTCCCCTCCCTATGTTCATGTGCCCTCATTGTTCAACATCCACTTATGAGTGAGAACATGTGGTATTTGGTTTTCTGTTCTTGTATCAGTTTGCCGAGAATGATGTTTTCCAGCTTCATCCATTTCCCTGCAAAGGCCATGAACTCATCCTTTTTATGGCTGCATAGTATTCCATGGTGCATATGTGCCACATTTTCTTTATCAAGTCTACCATTGATGGGCATTTGGGTTGGTTCCAAGTCTTTGCTATTGTAAACAGTGCTGCAATGAACATATGTGTGCATGTGTCTTTACAGTAGAATGATTTATAATCCTTTGGGTATATACCCAGTAATGGGATTGCTGGTTCAAATGGTATTTCTATTTCTAGATCTTTGAGGAATCACCACACTGTCTTCCACAATGATTGAACTAATTTACACTCCACCAACAATGTAAAAACATCCCTATTTCTCCACAACCTCTCCAGCAACTGTTGTCTACAGATTTTTTAATGATCACCATTCTAACTGGCATGAGATGGTGCATGTCAATGTGGTTTTAATTTGCATTTCTCTAATGACCAGTGATGATGAGGTTTTTTTTTCATGTTTGTCGGCTGTATAAATGTCTTCTTTTGAAAAGTGTCTGTTCATATTCTTCACACACTTTTTGATGAGGTTGTTTGTTTCTTGTACATTTATTTTAGTTCTTTGTAGATTCTGGATATTAGCCCTTTATCAGATGGGTAGGTTGCAAAATTTTTTCCCAATCTGTTGGTTGCCAGTTCACTCTAATGATTGTTTCTTTTGCTGTACATAGTGCAGAAGCTCTTAAGTTTGATTAGATCCCATTTGTCTATTATGGCTTTTGTTGCCATTGCTTTTGGTGATTTAGTCATGAAGTCCTTGCCTATGCCTATGTCCTGAATGGTATTGCCTAGGTTTTCTTCTAGGGTTTTTATGGCGTTAGGTCTTATGTTTAGGTCTTTAATCCATCTGGAGTTAATTTTTGTATAAAGTGTAAGGAAGGGGTCCAGTTTCAGCTTTCTGCAGATGGCTAGCCAGTTTTCCCAACATTATTTATTAAACAGGGAATCCTTTCTCCATTGCTCGTTTTTGTCAGGTTTGTCAAATATCAGATAGTTGTAGACATGTGGCATTACTTCTGAGGCCTCTGTTCTGTTTCATTGGTCTATATCTCTGTTTTGGTACCAGTACCATGCTGTTTTGATTACTGTAGCCTTGTAGTATAGTTTGAAATTGGGTAGCATAATACCTCGAGCTTTGTGCTTTTTGCTTAGGATTGTCTTGGCTATGCATGCTCCTTTTTGGTTCCATATGAAGTTTAAGGTGGCTTTTTCCAGTTCTGTGAATAAGGTCAATGGTAGCTTGTTGGGGATAGCAATCAGGCAAGAAAAAGAAAGCATATTCAATTAGGAAAAGAGGAAGTTACACTGTCTCTAATTGCAGACAACATGATTATATATTTAGAAGACCCCATCGTCTCAGCCCAAAATCTCCTTAAGCTGATAAGCAACTTCAGCAAAGTCTCAGGATACAAAATCAATGTGAAAAAATCACAAGCATTCTTATACAGCAAAAACTGACAAACAGAGTGCCAAATTATGAGGGAACTCCCATTCAAAATTGCTACAAAGAGAATAAAATATCTAGGAATACAACTAACAAGAGATGTGAAGGACCCCTTCAAGGAGAACTACAAATCACTGCTCAAGGAAAGAGAGGACACAAACAGATGGAAAAACATTCCATATTCATGGTTAGGAAGAATCAATATTGTGAAAATGGTCATACTGCCCAAAGTAATTAATACCATCTGCTTATCTTTAATTGTCCTCAGCTCAAGAATACTTCATATTTTGGTGTAGCATACTCTGGTCTTCCAGAGTTGTTAAAATCTGTTTGCTAAAAGTTAAGTCTCAAAAAAATTATAATATTGTAAACAAAGTTTAAGTGAAAATACAATTTCTATGATTTTAAATGGAACAAGACTTGAAATCCATTCTGATATTAACAGTCATTTCATATTTTTGCATTTAAATTTTGCATTTTTATTGTCATCACCTACAATTTTGTATATAATTAGAAGAATGTAAACTGGATATTTTGCAAAATAAAATGAGAGTATGTCCCATGAAAAAAATTGAAATAAAATAAACAAAATGAAACAAAAAACTAGTTCATGTTTTAAGCAATTTCACACCATGCTATTTTTTTATTTTTCTTTTGCAATACAGAAAAATAAGACATGCCAAATGTGACTAAGTAATTTTTTTGGTGGGGGAGATAATAATGCTGCTATTTTATCCTATTTGTATGTAGAAAGTCATTATAGCTAGATAATTTCTATTATCCTTAAAAGGCCAAAATATTATATGAAATTTAAAATACTGTTGTAAACATTAATGGCATTTTAAATGAAATGTTAAATTTCTCTTTAAATTCTAATTTTTTTCAACTGGCAAAGATTTCTTTGCTTGACCCAATGTTAGCCTCATGAATTTTCTTGTAAGCTCATCCATCTATGTACCCTCTAGTAAAATTATCTTTTATCAAGAGCTCTGCTAATTCAGTTTACTAACAACCCCCCATCCTTCATATCTGATCACTTTCAATATCTAACAAGATTCCTCATCCTATATTATCTTCCAGATGATGTCTAATCACCTTGACTTACATTCAGCAAGTATCCTATTAGGTTGTGATAGCAACAGAAGGTAGCCAAATACCTAGGCAGATAAGAGCATGTCCCTGGTGAAATGTCACCTTCAAGCCATAAAACAGCTTGAAGGCTGAAGAAACAGACTGCTAGTCCTAGGTGAAACTCACAACCCAGAGTGACATCTTCTGTTCCTGTTTGCCTACCCTTTCCTGATTGGTTCTTTCTGAATAACACCTTTTAACCAATTGAATGTTGCCTTTTCCAATATCACCTACAGCCTGCCTCTTCCCTATTCTGAGCCCATAAAAACCCCAGACTCATCCACATTAGGGGGACTTTCCCACCTTCAGGTAGAGGAATCACCCTGTGTTACTTCTCCACAGAAACTTGTTTCATCACTCAGTAAAACTCCTCACCTAAACACCAGCTTGGTGAAAAAAGGGCCAGCCTAAAGGCCAACATGGTGAAATCCTATCTCTACTAAAACTACAAAAAATTACCTGGGTATGGTGGCAGGTGCCTGTAATCCCAGCTACTTGCAAAGCTGAGGCAGGAAAATGTCTTGAAGCCATGAGGCGGAGTTTGTAGTGAGCCAACGTTGCACCATTACACTCCAGCCTGGACAACAAGAGTGAAATTCCGTCTCAAAGAAAAGGCTGGGTGCAGTGGCTCACACCTGTAATTCCAGCACCTTGGGAGGCCAAGGTGGGCAGGTCACAAGGTAAAGAGTTCAAGACCAGCCTGGCTCACATGGAGAAACCCCGATTTTACTAAAATTACAAAAAATTAGCTGGGTGTTGTCATGGGTGCCCGTAATCCAAGCTACTTGAGAGGCTGAGGGGGGAGAATCACTTGAACCTGGGAGGCAGAGGTTGCAGTGAATGGGGATCGCACCAATGCACTCCAGCCTGGGTGACAGTATGAGAATCCATCTTAAAAAAAAATCTCTCCACCTTGCTCACTCTTTGATTGTCTGCATATTCCTATTCTTCTTGGTTGCTGGACAAGAGCTCAGGACCCCTGCGAGTACCTTTTGCCCTCGCTAGCAGGGTATAGCCACCCCATGTGATGGGGCCAGGCTGTTTTATACAGGTAAAGACTGTTTTAGTAGCAATGTCTATGCCCACTACTTGTGTAGCTTAGCACAGTTTTTTTCAAATAGGATCAATGTAGTATAGGTTTTTGAATTCAAACATTCATTAGAAATATTAACTTAATTTTGACCAGATATGTTTAATTAAATAAAATAATGTTACTTCTTTTTTTTTTTGAAGAAAGAAGAAAGAAAGGGAAAGAAAAGAAAAAAGGAAGGAAGGAAGGAAAGAAGGAGAAAGAAAATGAAAGAAAATGAAAGAAAGAAAGAAAGAAAAAGAAAGAAAGAAAGAGAAAGAAAGAAAGAAGAAAGAAAGAAAGAAAGAGAAAGAAGGAAAAGGAAAAGAAAAGAAAGAAAGACAGAAAAAGAAAGAAAGAGAGAGAGAAAGAGAGAAAGAGGGAGAGACAGAGGGAGAGAGAACGGGATTCTTACTCTATTGCCTAGGCTGGAATGCAGTGATGTAATCACAGCTCAGTGCAGCCTCAAACTCCTCACCTCAAGCCACCCTTCCACCTCAGGCTACCCTACCAAGTATCTGAGACTGCAGGCATGCACCTCTGTGCCAGGCTAATCTAAAATAAAAATTTCATTTTCTTTTTTTTTGAAAACTGTTTTCTAAAGTGACTATCTTGTTTTGTATTTCCACCAGAAACATACGAGTTTTGCTCCAGTTGTCCCACATATTCACCAGCATGTTGTATTATCAGTTGTTTTGTTTTAGCAATTCTAAAAGGTGTATAGTAGTGTCTTAATTTGATTTTATTTTGCACTTCCCTAATGAGCTATGATGCTGAGTATCTTGTCCTTTTCGTGTGTGATTATTTTAATTTAATATAAATTAAATTAAACATTTAGCTTCTCAATTGCACTAATCATGTTTCAGAGGCTCAAAGGCCACATGTAGTTAGTGGCTATCTTATTGGATGACACAGATAATCAAACATTTCCTTTATTGCAGAAACTTCCGCTAGTCAATAGGATGCCTTAGCTAAAGTCATGAGTTCTTTCACATCAGAATTCATGGCTAATCTTCAGTAGGAATAGAGATTCAAAGTCCAATTTTCTCATTCCATGTTACAGTTACAAATTTCTCTAGTTTTGATTTAAAAATTACCTGACCATATTTGCTATCTCCCCAACTAAGCTGGAAGCCTTTTAAGAATGGGGCCACTTTTTAATCCAATTTGCCAGTGTGTGTCTTATGATTGGGGCATTTAGTCCATTTACATTTAGGGTTAATATTGTTATGTGTGAATATGATACTGCCATTTAAAGCTAGCTGGCTGTTTTGCCCATTAGTTGATGGAGATGCTTCATTATGTTGATGCTCTTTACCTTTTGGTATGTTTATAGAGTTGATGGTACTGGTTGTTCCTTTCTATGTGTAGTGCTTCTTTCAGGAGCTCCTGTAAAGCAGGCCTGGTGG